CTACTTCCGTAGTGATACTGCCTCGGAAACCCAAGGAGGGGTCGCTATGAGTCGGGGCCGACTCGACGGCAAACAACAACAACAACAACAACATGCTTGATCCTCAGTCTGGTCTTAAACTGGCCCACCTTTAACTTCAATGTCAATACCCCTCTCTCTGCATCAGTTGGTATCAAATATATCTTTGGACAGGTAAAGAATTTATAGTCTACCACTACTATAAACGTGCTTATGTTAGTGGCAACTAAAACACTGGCAATAGTGTAGAATATAGGAGCATTTGATGATATTTTTAAAGTTATAGTTTGTTCATATAAATGATATCCCCTTCATATACTTTATGCTCAGAGCTACCAGCTCTTCCCTTAATGCCCTGTACTTTCTTACCTGTGTCTCTCTTTATGGTCAGTTCAAGAACACTACCCCTATCCCTCCTATTAGAATCCTGCCACCCACCTATCTAAAATGAAAAAAAATAAATAAATAACCCACTGCCAATGAGTCAACTCCAACTCATAGTGGCCTCCATTGGGTTTTCAAAGCTGTAAATACGTACAGAAGTAGATTGCTTCATCTTCGTCCTGTGGAGCAGCTGGAGAATTTGAACCACCAACCTTCTGGTTAGCAGGCAAATGCCTTACCCACTACATCACCAGAGCTCCTTCCCACCTATCCAGTTCTATGTACAAAGCTGCCTTCCTTCATCTCTTCCAGCCTTTGCTTATACAACCTCTGTTGCTCCTTGAAGAAACTCTGCAGGCTTTTTGTAATTCCCACACAGTGTAATTCTTTACCTATTTATACCCCTCTACTATGCAGGTCCCTCTACTACAGAGGGAGCTCTGGTGACATAGTACCAAAGGCATTTTGACTCCTAACCAGAAGGCTGGCAGTTCAAACCCACCAGCCACTACTCGGAAGGAAAGTTGGGCAATCTACTTCCATAGTGATACTGCCTCGGAAGCCCAAGGAGGGATCGCTATGAGCCAGATCCGAATCGACAGCAATGAGTTTGATTTTTAAACTACAGAGGTCCTTAACACTTAGGAAAATGAACTACTGTATATTTGATGAAAGCTTTTCTCAGAAAAAAAAAAAAATGCACCACACACCAATTCTGTACATTATTTCAAGAGGTTAATGGACACATTGTCACATCCATGTGCCACTGGTTAAGAATACAAGCACTATTAGATTTTAAGCTCTTTTTGAACAGGCCCTTTTGTTTGCCTTTTTGGTCCCTAAAGTTCTACCACAGTATCTTCCAAATTAAAAAATGAAATAACTAATGTGATTTTATGACCAGCTCAGAACTGGAAAAACATGTTTATGTTTAACATTACCAATATCCTATCAAATATGTTACAGTAGCTGCCTTTTCATTGTAATTTAATAACTATTTTAAGCCTCAGGGAACCAAATAGTCTGTATTTGTCAATATTCCAGAATCTTTATTGTTTTCTAATGCCACAATTTACTACCTCAATGTGAAAATTGTTTTCTGTATCCAGAAGCAATTGAAATATGAATGTGTGTGTTACAGTATCAGTAATGCACAATGATGTTACACATTTCAGTAGCTATGTTTGGTAAATGACTATGAATTCTTTCATATATTCATTTCATCAACAAAAATGTATTGACAAAATACTCCACCATGACAACCAAATGCATGTAAATTACAACTCCTGACTTCCTAATCAAGGGGAGGAAAACACAGAGCTTTTACTTCCTCTAAACAATAACCCTTGGAAGGAAGGTTGGGCAATTTACTTCCACAGTGATACTGCCTCAGAAACCCAAGGATGGGTCACTATGAGTTAGGTCCAACTCAACAGCACATAACAACAACAACAAATCATAACCATCTGAAGAACAGGGCCCACTGTGTCATTCATCTTTGTAATCCTGGTGACTGGCACTCCATGGGCATGCAACAAATATTTGTCAAACGGAATTAATGTCTATTGTGAGAGATGTATGAAGAAGGGTATGTTTGGCATCACATTAACACATGGTTTGAACCAAGTAACTCCAGCCTGTAAAACTTCAGATCCTCCTCAGAAAACATCAAACAAATTCTTTCCATAATGACTTGGTTCTCCAAGTTTAGTATGAAATAAAACACAGAGTACCTTCTTGATGGAATTTCTATGAATCATCACTGCTTAATTGACTGCCTGCCCTGAGCATTACCCAGCTACAGACAGATAGATGGCCCAATAGAGCATTCACCCTAAGAAGACTCCACAGCTGCAGGAGTTCTGCCTTGTAGTGTGTGATTTATAGCTGAGGTTTTAGTTGCCATGTTTGGTAAATCAAAGAAAGTGTTCATTCTTCCCCTGTGTAGGTATGCCACCTTAGAAATCAAAGGCAGGGTAAGTTTTCTTACCAAGTGAGCATACTATAAACTCTCGATCCTGCCAGTTCTGCTTGCAATGAAAAGCAGAGAAACAGAAGGCATTTCCAGCAGGCAAATTGACCACAAAAGCTAATGCACAGTTAGTTAACAACAACCTTCTCTATTTCACTTCCTGCTTCTGGGCATGACTAGCAAAAAGATTCCCTCATTTTTCCTCCCTTTGCTTTAGATTGTTTTTATTAGTCTAGCATCAAGGAGCAAGAGAGCTAGAAGAAAAGCACAGGGAATAACCAAGATATTCTTAAAAAGTGGTGCAGGAGAGGCAAGGAATGATTACCCCCAAGATATCAATATGCCTTATACATTCATTCAAAAATACCTATTAAGTGTAGGGCATTGTTCTATTCTGGGAATACAAGAGTGAACCAACAGCTAAAAATCTTTGCCCTCATAAACCTTATACACCTACTTCTCACTTATCAGCTGTCATTAACCAACATCTTGCATTTATGATAATAGTAAAAAATACACTCTCAGACTATTTTGTGCATTAGCGATGTACATCTGGCAGTAATGAACACTGAAACAAGCTAACATTAGCTGCCATGGTTAAGGTTATATTAAAGCTGGGCTGTGATTCCCAGTGGTTTGGCAGTTATGTAATGCTATAATGTGGCATTTATGTAATGATGTAATTTGGCAGCTATATTAATGTAACCATCCTCCTTTTGTTATCTGATGTGGTCGTCCTCCATTTTCACATAATGCTAATTTCTGCATAAAAGCCTGGTCTTTGGAACCTAACCATATTGATAATGAGGAATGGGCATATTCTATTGGGAGAGAGAGACAATACACATGATCAATATCATTATTATGTAAGAGAAGCAGCAAAAAACAAAGCAGAGAAGAAGAATATAAAGGTTTCAAGGGGGTATAAATTTTACAAGAGTGAGCAGGGGAGTCTGGCTAAGAATGTGACGGTGAAGAAGAGACCAGAAAAAAAAAATAGCAGTCTAGTTTTGTTCATTTTTAGGAGAGAGGCACTCAGACAGATGGAAGACTTATCTTAATTTCATAGTATTTAAGACAATATAATACTGGTATGAGAACAGACAAAACAACCAATGGAACAAAACAGAGAAGCCAGGAATGGACCCACACCCTTGAAGAAACCCAAAATATGACAGATACACTGCACAAATCAGTGGAGAAAAGATGGATAATTCTAATTGATGATAGGACAAATGGCTACCAATATAGGGGAAAACTTTTATTCCCTACTTCTCTATATCTATAAAAAATCAACTACAGGTGGTTTAAGGAGTTATATGTGAAAACAAAATATTAATAATTTAGAATAAACACATATAGATGACTTTTATGGTCTTGATATAGCAAAAATTTTATTAAACCAGACACTAAAACAGCACAAGTTAAAAAGAGAAAGATTGATCATTTTAATGACATTAAAATTAATAATTTTACTTCAAAACACATACATCAATTTTTTGAAATGATTCACAAATTGGGAGAATAAAACTGTCAGATATAATTAATACAAAATGAGTACCAGAATATAATCAACAATAAAGATACAAAAATATAATTTTAAAAAGGGGACAAAAATAACCTGAACAAGTATTTCATAATAATGGAAGCATAAATGACCAATTATCATATGAAAATATGTTTCATTTCATTAGTAATTTGGGAACTGCAAATTAAAACCACAGTGAGATTACACTGTACACCCACCAAATAGACAAGAATTTTGAAGTCTGAAAATATCAATCGTTGGCAAGAAACTTTTCTCTGTAAGTCAAGGAAAGGTTTATATATGGAAGGAAATTTTCTTTGTTGGTTACCAGGGGTGGGAGGGGAGGGAAGGGAACACTGTTAGATATATAGAGACAAGTATTGATTTGGGTGAAAAGAAGGGCAGCGTACCAAATATGAATGATCAACATGGTGGCATTGAGGAAGAGGAAGACAGAGAGAGGTACATGGGTGGTACAGACAACAAAGATGAACCCTTTTGCACATACAGTACTGCGTTGTCAGTGAAGGCAAACATGGATATACAGGTGGATGGATGGGCACCAGGGCAGGGGGGAGTGTACCCAAGACCATGTATAGGATTGGCAGACAATGGTTCTACAAGTGCATTTGTATGTTCTGTAAGAATTCCCAGGTGTATAGTAGAGCTGACAAGGGACAAGGTTGTAGTCACTCCTTGGGCACAGCCAGCTACCCAGAGGGACCAAGTAGTTGAATCTGTGGCCTTGGGACCATAGTCGCTGGGGACATCAAGCTCTATTGGCATAACATCCTACACAAAACATTGTTCCACCTCCTTGGAACTTTGGCGAGTAGTAACTGGGATCTTAAAAGCTTGCAAGCAGCCATCTAGAGGCAATGATGGGTCTCTCCTCATCCAGAACAAAGAAGAATGAAGAAAACCAAAGATTCATGGAGAAAATTAGTCCAAATGACAGGTACACCATGTGATCCTCAGTGTATGTGACTACTTTAGACCAGAAGAACTAGATGGTGCCTGGCCACCACTGTCAACCACTCGGAGGGGGATCTATATAGGAGATCCTGGATAGAGAGTGAGAACAATATGGAGTAAAACTCAAAATCATTTTAAAAAAAAAAAGGGAGAGGGACCAGGTTTGCTGGTCTGATAGAGCCTGGTGGAACCACTGAGACTTTAGCCCCTAGCTGCCCTTCAGGTCTGGAATTGAACCCATACCTGTGGCTTTCACCCAAACAAAAGACAGGCATATGAGGTGAACATTTACACTAGGTAGATACACTCCTTGGAGAGAACAATAATGGGAGAAAGAAGGACTGGTTATGCACAGGGAAACAGCTCAGGGGGCAGGAGTGCATGCAGGGATAGACATAGGGAAGAGGTAACTATTGGGAGACAGTGGGAGGGGAGCTGTAGCATTGTGGTAAATTGTAGTCAATGTCATGAGACAAAAAGTATATGAGTTGGTGTATGGAAAGTGAATTTTCTCTGTAAACTTTCACCCAAATCACAATTTTAAAAGAAATAAAAAAACAAACTTTTTTTCTGCAAGTAGAAATATTAATTGGTGCAACTACTCTGAAAAACAATTTGGTTTCACCTGGTAAATTTGAAAAAATTATGATACTTTGACCCAGAGCACTAATTCTACTCTAACTATGTCCTCTAGAGAAATCTTTGTGCATGGGCATCAGAAAACATTAACATAGTCATGTTGTTGCTGCTGTTAGGTGCCGTGAGTCAACTCTGAATCATAGCAACCCTAAATACAACAGAATAAAACACTGCTGGTCCAGCGCCAGCCTCACAATCCTGTTATACCTGAGCCCATCATTGCATCCACTGTGTCAATCCATCTTGTTCAGGGCCTTCCCCTTTTTTGCTGACCCTCCACTTTACCAAGCATGATATCATTCTCCAGAGAATGGTTCCTTCTGACCACATGACCAAAATAGCTGAGAGGAAGTCTGGCCATTCTTATTTCCAAGGAGCATTCCAGCTGCACTTCCTCCAGGACAGATGTGTTAGTTCTTCTGGCAGTTCATGGTACTTTCAGTATTCTTCACCAACCTCACAACTCAAAAGCATTAACTCCTCTTCTCTGGTCTTCCCTATTCATTGCCCAGCTTTCACATGCATATGAGACGATTGAAAACACCATGACTTGGGTTAGGTGCACCTTAGTCTTTATAGGGGCATGTTCACCTTCAGCACTTAAAAGAGGTCTTTTTTAGCAGATTTACCCAGTGCAATGTTCCAGAATTCCCATTCTTCTCATTGTTATCCATAATTCGTTATGATCCACACAGTTGAATGTGTTTGCATAGTCAATATAACACAAGTAAATGGTATCTGATTTCTTGACTGCTCCTTCCATTTGTGTTGATTGTGGAACCAAGTAATACGAAATCTTTGACAACTTAAATCTTTTCTCCATTTATTGTGATACTGCTCTTTGGTTCAGTTGTGAGGATTTTCATTTTCTTTATCTTGAGGTGTAATCCATACTGCAGACTATAGTCTTTAACCTTTATCAGTAAGTGCTTCAAGTCTGTAATGCAAAGCTGCCGAGACACCAGGACACAGAGTTGTTTCAGAGAAGCAGTTTATTAGCACTCCCGGGAGAGGTTCTCGTGCCCTAGCGTCAAGTCCAGAGAAGTCGCACCCCCAGGTAGTGGGGATAGATTCTTATA